CCCGTGCCCCCAGTCCCCCCCCCAACCCCCCCCGTGCCCCCAGGATGGCGAACCGGGGCCCGTCGTACGGGCTGAGCCGGGAGGTGCAGCAGAAGATCGAGCGCCAGTACGACCCCGAGCTGGAGCAGCTCCTCGTGCGCTGGGTCCTCGCCCAGTGCGGCGGCGACGGCGGCCCCGCCCCGGCCACGCCCGCGCCCGGCAGGGACGGCTTCCAGCAGTGGCTCAAGGACGGCACCGTGAGTGGGCTGCGACCCCACAGCTGGTCCTACGGCCGACCCCACAGCTGATCCTATGGCCCTGACCCCACACTGACCCCACACTGACCCCAGAACTGACCCCACAACTGACCCCAGAGCTGATCCTATGGCCCTGACCCCGTACTGACCCCAGAACTGATCCTACAACTGATCCTACGGCCCTGACCCTGTACTGACCCCAGAACTGATCCTACAACCGACCCCAGAGCTGATCCTACGGCCCTGACCCCCTACTGACCCCACACTGACCCCAGAACTGACCCCACACTGACCCCAGAGCTGATCCTACAGCCGACCCCAGAGCTGATCCTACAGCCGACCCCAGAGCTGATCCTACGGCCCTGACCCCGTACTGACCCCACACTGACCCCAGAACTGACCCCACACTGACCCCAGAGCTGATCCTACAGCCGACCCCAGAGCTGATCCTATGGCCCTGACCCCGTACTGACCCCACAACTGACCCCAGAACTGATCCTACGGCCCTGACCCTGTACTGACCCCAGAACTGACCCCAGAACTGATCCTACGGCCCTGACCCCGTACTGACCCCATAACTGACCCCACACTGACCCCAGAACTGACCCCACACTGACCCCAGAGCTGATCCTACGGCCGATCCCACAGCTGATCCTACAGCCCTGACCCCGTACTGACCCCACAACTGACCCCACAACTGATCCTACGGCCCTGACCCCGTACTGACCCCAGAACTGACCCCAGAGCTGATCCTACGGCCGACCCCAGAGCTGATCCTATGGCCCTGACCCCCTACTGACCCCCTACTGACCCCACACTGACCCCACAACTGACCCCAGAACTGATCCTATGGCCCTGACCCCGTACTGACCCCAGAACTGACCCCAGAGCTGATCCTATGGCCCTGACCCCCTACTGACCCCAGAACTGACCCCAGAACTGATCCTATGGCCCTGAGCCCGTACTGACCCCACAACTGATCCTACAGCCGACCCCACAGCTGATCCGACAGCCGACCCCAGAGCTGATCCTATGGCCTTGACCCCGTACTGACCCCAGAACTGATCCTACAACCGACCCCAGAGCTGATCCTACAGCCCTGACCTCACAACTGATCCTACAACCGACCCCACAGCTGATCCTACGGCCAACCCCAGAGCTGATCCTATGGCCCTGACCCCCTACTGACCCCAGAACTGACCCCAGAACTGATCCTACGGCCCTGACCCCGTACTGACCCCACAACTGACCCCAGAGCTGATCCTACGGCCCTGACCCCCTACTGACCCCCTACTGACCCCACACTGACCCCAGAACTGACCCCACACTGACCCCAGAGCTGATCCTATGGCCCTGACCCCCTACTGACCCCAGAACTGACCCCACAACTGATCCTACGGCCCTGACCCCGTACTGACCCCACAACTGACCCCCTACTGACCCCACACTGACCCCACAACTGACCCCAGAACTGATCCTACGGCCCTGACCCCGTACTGACCCCACAACTGACCCCAGAACTGACCCCACAACTGATCCTACAGCCCTGACCCCAGAACTGACCCCACAGCTGATCCTACGGCCCTGACCCCGTACTGACCCCAGAACTGACCCCACAACTGATCCTACGGCCCTGACCCCGTACTGACCCCACACTGACCCCACACTGACCCCAGAACTGACCCCACACTGACCCCAGAGCTGATCCTACGACCCTGACCCCGTACTGACCCCACAACTGACCCCAGAACTGATCCTATGGCCCTGACCCCGTACTGACCCCCTACTGACCCCACACTGACCCCACAGCTGATCCTACGGCCCTGACCCTGTACTGACCCCACACTGACCCCAGAACTGACCCAAACTGACCCCAGAGCTGATCCTACGGCCGACCCCACAACTGATCCTACGGTCCTGACCCCGTACTGACCCCACAACTGACCCCACAACTGATCCTACGGTCCTGACCCCGTACTGACCCCAGAACTGACCCCAGAACTGATCCTACGGCCTTGACCCCAGAACTGATCCTACAACTGACCCCAGAACTGATCCTACGGCCCTGACCCCAGAACTGATCCTACAACTGACCCCAGAACTGACCCCAGAACTGATCCTACAGCTCTGACCCCAGAACTGACCCCAAAACTGATTCTACAGCCCTGACCCCAGAACTGACCCCAGAACTGATTCTACAGCCCTGACCCCAGAACTGACCCCAGAACTGATCCTACAGGCCTGACCCCAGACCCCAAACCCCAACCC